CTTTCGAAAAAATTTTCGAAACTGTTCGCCACTCTTAACAGTCGCGTTACGCCTCTGATGAAGCATTTTTTAAAATTCTAAATACTAGAAGAAAATGAAAATATCGTGGCAAGAATCGTCGTAGCTCGGTTAACGAGGTTGTACGCGAAATTACGTTACCGTCAGAGTGGATCTGTAGGATCAGACGTGATTGCAATCAAAGCTAGCTATTTTTACCTGTGAATTGAATAGCTGGACGATGACGACGATATGATTACTTCCGAGGAATTGTATTGCGCGATGGTGCAAGCATGGTGCAAGTATGGTTCGTATACGAAGGTTGTTCAAAGGTGGAACTTGGTGAATCTTGTGATAAAAAGAGGGTAAGAAAAGAGTAGGAACTATGATAAAAAAAATCAACGAAGTTTAAAAATATACAGAAAATTTGTTTCGTATTTTTATCGATATATTTATCAAATTCTTGTGCCAGTTTGGCAGATCAATTTCATCTTATGACCATTTAACCCGGTAGCTTAAAAATAAATAAATTGCTAAATGACAATGATGAGCACCTATGAAGGAAATTAATGTATCACTGCAATAGCTAGTAGATGTGCTTCGTAGTAACGTTAATGGATAATGTGAATCATAGGACGTATCCTTGCACGCGTATAGTAGCCTTCGCTATACAGCGAAGTTTTAAATTAAAGCATTAAATTGATGCAGTGGATCAATTTACCATAGATCATTTTTTATATCTTTTATATTTAATTTATGACCTTGTACGACCTTGAATATCATGCTATACCGCATGTTCGAACTCGTTTTGACACGCGTTTTAACACGATGTAAAAAGATATATGATATTCTATTGAAGAAATTGAAAGTCACCTTCGTATCTCGAAAAATAATGGGAAAACGTAAAGTTGGTATGCACTGGCTTATTGATCATGAAAAACTGTAAAATTTTCTCCTCTGTCATTTTTCCTAATCCCAATAATTTTCGAAAAAAGCTGATAATAGCGCGGACACCCTGTATGTAAAGCCCGAAGCAAGGATAAGGTATACTTCATGCGATCCGAATCAAGCTTCCAAGCTTTTATCTTTCCATGTTTCCGTCCATTCGATTGTGAAAATAATTAAAGAGTCGTACATGTAAATTTTTACGTCGGATTGTACGAACGATGTTTTATCCGATAGAACGTAGTCAGTGATTTATCTAAATAATTTTCCACCAGCCTAGAAAATCGGATGATGTTGTATCTGGACGTCGAAACTGTGTCGGGTTCGTGGTGGAACGCTGGTAACAACGAACATAAATCGTCCGCTGGCATATGGCATTCCCTGGGGCTGAAAGAGCGAAATTCATTACACTTATGCATGGATTTTCGTCGTGCAACGACACCGAGCGCCGCGTAGCGTGTTTTCGTGGAATTATTTAAACCCGTGAAGTCGCTTGTTAATGGGTCATTAGCGCCGTAACGCGTGCGTGTGGTCGAATGATTTTATTGAGAAAGTGGATTCGTTTGTCTTGTTGCTTTCCGTTGGCTAGACTGCGTTCACGGTTTTGGCGTAACTGGGAAGCTTGCCAGCGGAATGGTAATCGCCTTTACCATTCGAATCACCCTCGTTTTGGACGTTCTTTTATTTATCTCGAACCCTTTCACTTTGTGTCTTTGTTTGGGATTCTTTCCATTGTAGCTTCGTGGTTGTGCCCGGGATTGGTGGGTAAAAAACGTGTATCGAGATCAATAGGAATAAAAATATTCCTCGTTTTATTCGAGCCCCATGTCGGATAACAGGTCTTTTATTTATTTCTCTCCACGTTTCACGTTTTGCTGCCTATGTTTAATTGAATTTTTTCGATACTTTCATTTGTGTACAAATGAAAAAGTATCACGCTGTAAATAACGATCGTATAATACGAGTACCTTATTTCGAGACATGCCGTATATTTTCATTATTCCAGTCTATATGGTGTTACAATCGATACCTGAAAACCGTCTAGCAGGAGCCAGAGAAACAAACATCCCATTCGTTATATTTTCCTATCTCGTGCAATCCACGCGTGCAATTTGTAAAAGGAAATATTCGAAGCGAACTTCGTCTACTGCGCGAAGAGCAAAACAAATCGGAACAACTTTCGTGAGGGGTGTGTGCGCACGCATCTACGTAACCGTCACGCGATAAACGCGTGCACGCCCGGTTAATCGTGCTGTTCGCGATGCAGCTGTAGCAGGTGCATCGCCGACACGTTGTTGAATCGCATTTAAACCCGGTGGTCGAATGGCTAACCGATCGTTACCAGAAGATACCATCAAAAATACAGACAAACGCGTGTTCGCTACGTATGATGTCTGATCGGACACGTAATTTATTTCTCGTTCGATTTTTCGTCTCCGCTGCGCAAGGGGGAATCGTCAGCCGATAAAGAAGAGAGCAAACAAAGTCGAGCGTTTCTTCCATTTGCTTCTGGTCGTGAATCACGCAGAAGGAATTCAATTCTTTTCTACGAGCAGATTTCGTAGTCAGCGAATCGACCAATGATCCTTCCTCTCCCTGTTTTATTCTACGACGATATTTATCAGCCGTGTAAAAGTGGAAACCGAATTAGAGTAGAGTGACGTCGTTATTTACGAACGGGATAAGCATTCGAGAAACGGTGAAATACGCAGTGTCCCGGTGTTTACATTGTAATTCCGCTGACGGCGCCACTATTGGTTTTATTCGATCTACACGCTCAAATTTCCGTGTAATTTCGCCAATACACGCTGATTAATCGACCAACTATTTGACTCTTAACTACTGGAAAAGTACGTTACTCAATTATATCAGCATACACTTTCGTTATTCTTCCGTTAAGATAGATAGCATTGAACGAAATCCGTGTGAGTTCTATCTAACAATTTTCGTAGTGTTCGCGAATTATTACCGACCCTTGAACCAACGGTTGTAATTGCTAAAATGATAACCTACGTTCGAAAGAATCTTGCTGTTATGTAATTCGAAGTTTTTATCCGCGTCTTTGACGTACTTCGTTCGGTATGTACGTAATTAAGTATCAAATTTGATAATAGTGAGAGAAAAATTGCAAGTCCTGTTTATCGTTGGAATAATTAGGTTATAAAATAGATCAATGCGTTTCCTGCCATATCGACTGTGATCTTTATGTTACATCATCTTTAAGTAACCAAAGTAAGTAGCGAATATTCTTCATTAAATTGTCATTTTTCTCATCCTGAGAATTCTAATTGTTCAATTAAGGCGCAATTCCGATCGACAGGACGGCAATCGCTTCAAATAGTTTCATCCGTCCAGGAACTACACGTGATATAGCGTGGCAGCCTAAGTAACGTCGAAGTTAGATGAAATGACTTGTCGAAGGAGTGTAGACGAGCAGATAAAACGTCGGTCACATTGAACCGTGGCCTGTCAACGCCCTTCGCGACACTCCAGCGCCGCCAATTGATAAGCAGTCGGCGAAATTTCAGCCTGTCCCATTCTCGGAAGCATTCTTTTCACGATCCTCGGCAAGTATGCGCGCTGAAGTGTCCACTTGCTACGTGTATGTTCGAATCGAATATCTCTGGCACGACTTTCAATTTTAGTCGATTACGATTGGCGTATTCAGCGAACGCTCGAAAGATATAGCTTTCCTTTAATACAGAGAGAAAATTTTTGTTTTTTTTTTTTTAGGCGGTTTCGACACGCCTTTTCAATTTATGCGAACGGATCGTAATTAAATATGGAGCATGCAGCTCAGCGGGAAAAATACCTACCGTTCCGCAAATATTGACCCTGCTGAAAGGAGGTTAGGTTTGGTATTAGTTAAGTGTCTCGCGCTGCAACTGCGGTTATTCGAAATAAAATTACCGAAATTGCGTTTTTGAAGTCCCTCGGAAACTGTCTAGGAATTGCACGGTGCAATTGGGAACTTTCTGTAGCGCGCGCGTTCAGTACATTTTAAACCGTACTTCGCCCATAAAGAGCGAGATCGGTTGACCTCACACGAGAACTAACGCAAATGTGGTATTATGTACAGGTTGATCCTTGCAATTGGGGCGGTTCGTACTTCATTTTCACGATGTGGGGAAAAAACGGCGCGCAAAAAAGGACGAAAACGTTGGTAGATTCAGAAAAATTCCGGTTACATCGGTTTTATTTTCTCTGCAGGTGCACCGGCACAAGATGCAACCGCGTTCATTTTTTTACTTCCATCGTGCAACCTGCATTTTTATGTCGGCCAAGAGTAAAGTAATTTCTAATTAAACCGTTCTTAAAAGTTTCTGAATAATTAAAGAAATAAACATTTCGCGGTACTTAAAAGAAGACAAAGCTCGATATTGTTCATTGGGATTCAAATGTTTGCACATCACCACGCTATATTTACCGAGTACCTAGTCGTTAGAACGCATTTAAAATTTTTAATATATCATATTCTATCGTTTATATTAGTACCAAGAAAAGTCGAGTTATTTATATCACATTCGTATATTTTTGTATATATGAACAACAGTTTATTGAATGATCTAATCTAAATCTTTGTATGTCATTTTTCTGTGCGTCTTTATTTAGAAGAAAGCTATAAGCTGTCCCAGTTGCGAGAATCAGCCTGTATTCGCACACGCGTGGCTGAGTTCACTCTGCGTCCACCACGAGGCGCCAGCGCGTTTCCAGCGCGACCGTTTACTCTAGCTCGTGAGTCGGACGTCAGTCGCTGCGTGAGACGGGTCGTTCGTTGCTTCGCGGTATCACGGACCCGGCTAACCGATACAATCGCGTTTTTCAAGCGAAGTTGCGCTCGTTCCGTTACGATATCGTCGTCGTTATCGTCGAGAACCGACTGTGGAAAGAATCGAATAACCGTAGGACAGCGTTTCTAAAGCGCGGGAAATTTTGAAACTCGTAAAAAATATCTGCTCTCGTGTGACTGTTATCGTTTCAAATTTAAACCAGAGTTTAACAGTGCGAAGTGAGGAATAATTGAAAATTTATACCATTCAAACATTCTACTTTAAACTGGCACTTTATCGAGGGTATTTTGCATCGACGGAAAAATCGAGGAATTTCTAAACGGGATTCTAGTCGTGTTTATTCATCGATCACGTGTAGCGTTCTCGATGACGAAATATCGTTCGTAAACCGATCGAAGGATACTAGTTGGAAAGAAATCGCATCCTTGATTCGAGGTCGTTGAACCGTTGGGATCTCCGATCTCGAGCGTCAACAGTTTCTTCTGACAGAGTTACACGGTTACTCGTGACGCCAGCGGTCGTTTTTGATCGCGTGTCGTTCCATTAGCATAAAATCGAGTGTCAATGTCACCCTCGAGACTGAACGACTACGGTTTCGCATGCAGCGCATGGTGTCAGAAAGTGTGGTTAGGTTGTTCCTGAAAGTATTACGGTCCCGACGAAGTGAAGGGAACCGAGTGCAACGAATTCCATTGGTTTCTGGAGTTTGGCGACGCGGACACGGCGCCAAGCATGATTTTCACCGGCAGGTCGGTGGACGCTCTCGACGAAGTTCGCGGCAGCAACGTCCAGGCGGACAACCGTCGGGATGTCAGCGCCGTCGCCATAGCCGCAGGATGGTTCTCCAGCCTGCGCAGACCCGGTAAAAGGAACAAGAAGGGCTACCAAAAGCAGGCCAAGAGCGCATGGGACCTTAGCACATTATCTATGGTTAGTTGAACGTTCTGTCTGGCTGCACCTACTTCCTCCAAACGATTGTCCACCAAAATTGAATTCCTTAGCTTAAATTTCGCTCTCCGTATTTTCCAAGCAATTTCTGTGCTCTATTTTAACCTCTTTTCCTTGTCATTTCGACAGGGGAAATATTTTTTCCACGCGTTTGAATTTATTACAGATTTATTTGTTAAATCTATCGAATCTTTTTTTAAATTAATAATTATATATGTATAGTGTATTTTTTAATCATTATTCGTTATTTTCGTTTGTTCGTGTTAATATAATCGCGTAATAAACGAAGACAAACAGTTTGGACTTAAAAGATCGATATTTTAGACAACGTGTATTCGAAAATGACGGTTATTCCCGCGCTTAGTGGGTATACCTAACCCCCAAAAAGATGCGCCTATTTTTGAACTAAAAATTCCCGCTGCAGTCAGCGAAACATACCACACGTTATTGTGAAACCCGATACGTATACCAAGTGCAGTTGAATCGTAGTCTGCGATGTCAACATCGCTTCCTAACCTCTCTCTTTATTTATTTATCTTGTCCGATGTATGTGCAACTCCTGTCAAACGTGAATCTAATTAACGATGTGCCTATTTGAATCATACATACATCGAACGTATTTAAAGAAAAATATCAATGGCCGCGTTTATCGTTCGAAATATGAACTTCGACTGGAATGGTATCAGTGGTCGACAACTTCCGGTGACTGGAGTTTCAACGAGAAACTACGATCGATCGACAGCGATCTCGGCGATCGGTAATTGAAAAGCGGCCAAAAGGCGCTTCCTAAATAAATCGCGGACGGTATTAAGAACAGAGAAACGATGTAAAATAAGAGTACGGTGGCGCTCTGAAGTTGGCCGAGCAGCCAAATTTATTTCTAGGGAGTTAACACCGGCGAAGCCGATTCGATCTGCACCAACCTTCTCTTGAAACTTGTTTTCCTTTCTGTGAGAATGAATTTAATCGAACCTCATTCGGCTAATGGACGACGTAGTTCCTGGAATATAAGGAGCAATATAAATTATCGATAATTGATGAGTAAAATATACGACAGTCGTTTAACGTGTGAGGTTCGCGTTACGAACAACTTGGAACAAGAAGTTAGGTTATGTTAGAGAAATAATTTTTTAGACAAGATAATTTATCCATTTATTCGAGAAAAATATATATTTATTTATTTTACACATTCGTTCGTATCAGGATGTGCGTAAAATGAAAAATTATACGGAAAAATTACAGTTCGTATTTATGCGTGTATATAAATGCTGCGTAATATGTAAGGAGCGAGTATAACGTATGATTCGTATAATTTATATCGAAAGCGCGTTTTATAAATACCATCTGCACGTATGTAGAAGATCGAGATCTATTGACTCGCATAGTTCATGGTCAGCTTTTGTATAACTATGCTGTACCGTGTTGGTAATTTATTATTTAACACTAAACTTATCAAGACGTAAATCATGGTTTTCCAAACTTTCATTACAAATTCCGCGTTCAACGTTGTCACCTTAATTACTCGTCTTCGCCATTTTTCTTCCAGTCATTTCATAGTCATTTTTTTAATGTCTCCTCTTAATCGATTTTTTAAAGCTTATGCTTCTTTCCTATTCATCGGTCACTTGACCATGTTGGATTTAGTGTTAATGCCTGATACTTTTTGACATCGCTTTTACTTTTTTCGTATTTTTTAAGGGCTCATTTACATTGCTACTCGAGGTTGGTAGGTGAAACGCAAAGTCCAAGTTATTACGTTCTGAATCAGCATCGTTATTTATAAGGAAAGCTTCCATGTGTAAATACATGAGAACAAATAAGCGGATTACAGTTCCTCGCATCTCGCCTCGCGGAGAAGTGTGTGACTTGTGAATCACGAATGACACAAAATAATAACGATTATAGTAGCATAAAATACGACGAATCATTCGTTATTAGACGCGTAAACGGTTTAAATTACCCGCGCTTTTTGCGTGTCCACGTTCGTGCTATTTAACCACCGGTACTACGTATCATGTAAACAGCGTTTATTCATAGTGCATGTGGTATACCATTGGTGTACCTGAACCACTGGCAAAGCAAATTACTCATTTTTATTTGCAGCATGCCGCTCTTTCCTAGAATAATATATAACCATGTTGCGTATACAAAGAGCAAAGACCAATTGAGTTTCGATAAATATTTCTATACACCACTAACAAGATAAAAGCATGCCGATGAAGACTATAGAATCCTACGTCTGTGTAAGATATTCCTTGCTCTTAGAACCTACATAAATGCGATTCATTCACGTTCGTCCGCCATCACTTTTATCTTCCATTACGATTAATTTAATATCAACATAGCATGATTAGCAGTAAATTTGTTATAATAGTGTATATTCAGATTAATAGCTTGAATTGTACACTTCAATATCGTTTTTTCCAACAGATTTTTAATTTTTTCCAACAGACATACTAACCAAAGTTAAGGAACAAAGATTACTTACCGTATTAGGTTTGGGAGATAAACAAATTAATACAAATTGGGAGATTTTCATGCAAATATAGTGATTTTTCTAGTATAGTACGAACCTTTCTCTATAAAATCAAATTTGATTCATAACCATATCGTTTTATTTACTAATTTCTTTTTAAGATATACTTTGAGGTAGAAACCAAGTTACCCCCTGGTCCTGCTTTCAATTTTAATATACGTATCTCGGAAGATGAGGAAGATACAAAGATTCTTGAATGATAGCTCCGTTTCTTGACTCTTCTCTCGTCAGTGAGAGTAAATAGTTGTTTGTTCACCGTTTACTTTTAGAAGGAAAATATCCTCGGACGAATCGTAGCTGAACGAAGCGGAGGGAGCTGCGTTACTGGCAGACAACGACGCAATTTGGTCGTTTACAATGGCATCGGGCTTCTTTTTCCTGCACGAAAATATCATTCCATGACGTTCCTGACGTCACGAATCGAAGATTGTACAGACGAACCGAGTTGGTAACTTATTTATAGGGAGAATCAAAATGGAGCTAACGCAAGTAGACCATTCCACGCAGGGTTACTTTGATCGTTGAGCTAATCGTAATCCAGCATACTCGCCTCTACCATTACGTGGTCGATTATAATTATCCCCCATACTTCACTCGTAACGTCGGTCATTCTTCTTTCGTCCACGATGCCGAGGAAAATACCCGTCATAGTTACGAGTTCATGGAAACGTGATCTAATTGCATAAGTTTGCAACGAAGCAATAGTAGGTCTCGATAGGTCTCGATAGTCGGATCAGACCTGGTGGAATCGTGGTAACAGGGTGATATAACTATTTCTCCGCGAAAACTTCAACTAGACAAGGCTAGTTTTAATTAGAAATGGTATTCAGTCCTGGGAAACGAAATAAATTTCAGTTTCGGTATCAACGAGACTATGTATCTCGGTTTCTCTTTGCGTGATGCCATTTTTAAAACCTTATCCACTGTTTTTACAAAGCATTTTGGTCTTATAAACGTTCTCAGTTTCACGCGTAACTCGAGTGCGCCATCTAGATTCGTCTAGACAAAGCGTCTTCTTCGTAGTACCAATGATAGTACCATGGAAATTTACCCTAAATAATTAAGGCCGTATTCTAGTCTACAGATCAGTTTTTTAGGCGATATTTTGACCCTTAATTCATAGTTAATTTATAGTTATACTAGAATACCCCCCCCCCCATTTATAGTTAATTTGTGTAATATAAATTAGTTCTCATGATAGCGTAATACTCTTTCTTATTTACCTATAATTCCTTATAATTCTTACTGAGAATTAGAAAGTAAAAGGAAATGGTAGTACCAGTTATACCTTGGTGGCAAACACCAAATTCAAAGAATCAGCAAACAGCCAGGGTTCTATCTCTCGTATGTACGTTCCTTATCGCGAATTCACGCCGTTCCAAATAGGTGGCAATAAAACCCGTCAAACCTTGATTCCTGTGTGTGTATATATATATATATATCATGACATAAAATTGACGTCGAATCGTGCCATTGAATATTTCGCGAAAAGCGGATTAATCGGCAGCCTTCGATAAAGGAAGCGAGAGGAGAAATGCAACGGATACTCCTTTGTTCGTTGTCAGTTTATGGATTTATCGGGCGTATCGTGGCGCACGTGGAAATTACGTAACACCGCGTCGTTACGTGCGCGGAGGTACACTTTATGATATTAGTAATTCAGCTTGGTGGTCGCCGGCAATATTTTTAGGTTAATGGGGTAGCTCAGTGGCGGAAAGAGCGATCCGCGGGGAATAGGAACGACCGACGATCGTTTCAAAGGAAACAGAGAGAATTTTTTCCCTTTCTCTTTCCTTTTCTCTATTTTCCCTCTTTTCTTTCTTTCTCTTTTCCCCTTGTTGCTTTTCGTCGGTCGACGGCGTGTCGCGCGCGCCCGATCGATAAAACAGTCGCGTTTATCCGTCGCGATGCGTGATGCTGAGGCATCGGGCCCTCGTAAATCGTCCGACGGGAAAAAGTGTGTCGATCGGTTTCCGAGTTTCGCCGTTAGCCTGCGCGGACCTAGCTGCTTTCATATGAAATCTCGCGACGAGCCGTCGGTGCTAATGCCGTCACTGTTGCCCGTCGCTGCGATACGAATATTTTGGCGGAGAAAGCTTCCGCTCTCTGCAACGCGTGGCTCTGTATGCACTCACGCGGCTGCGCGCGCACTGCGTGGGGAAGAAGTAATCGGAGAAACGTTTACCGCGTAATCTTCACCGCGTCTATCGCGGTGCAGCTATTTATTGTTTTAACCGGAGTATAACCTTCTGAGTATGCGGCTGTGATTCGATGGAAAAGAAAATTTTCAATTTCCAATGGGAAAGTTCTGAAACGAACACTGATTTTTCGCTTCATATATTGAAGTTTCTCACGATACTTCCAGGTAACCACGATGTTGTTATTATTGTAATATATCGTAGATATTATTTAATTTACGTAATGTATCATGTCTATATTCGAATCT